AAGAATATATATTACTTTAACAATAATCAATATTACATGCTTTGTCGCTTTCCGATATTAACTTTGGGTTTTTGGGATAATAAAAGAGGCAGGTATAATGAAATATGATTTATTACTAAATTCGCGAGATATATACATTAGGCCATACATATAAGAACGTAATCTTTCTCGTATGCTCCTGATTCTCAATGAGCGGAACGCCCACTCGATTCTTCGTCGTCGCGACGGCGAAGAGTCTCTCGTGCGTTTACCGCCTTAAAAACACAAGTGTGTACAGAGGTACATATATTTATTTCCGCATCGGCGTTTTTATTCTCTCTGTGTGTGTGTGTGTGTGTGTGCGTGCGTGCGTGTGCGTGTGCGTGTGCGTGTGCGTGTGCGCGCGTGTGTGTGTGTGTGTGTGTGTGTGTGTGTGTGTGTGTGTGTGTGTGTGTGTGTGTGTGGTGTCCAGAAGCTCGTACAACTGAAAGCTAACACCGAGTACATCGTCTTTATTTTTTCTTCTCTTTTAAAACTACACATCTCGCCTCGCGAGCGAAGATACGGGCGCGTTTTTGCGCGTTCTCGCGTATATTCTTTATCTGGCGATGTCCCATGATAATTGGAACGCGCCATTTGAACACTTTCACAATATGGCTAAATATCTGTTATCTTCCTATCGGACGCGAGATTGACATTCCCGCGTTCGTTTAATCACACACGAGACTTCCGAAGTCCTTCAGTCCTCCTTTCGAGAGTAATTCTTTACTATTATACATTACAACGTAGTTATATACAAGGGTATGTACAATTCTTCAATCTTTGCTCGCCGTTATGCCACCGTAAATATCGGAGATATGTCCCCGATAAGACGTAAAACATACTGCCGTTCAACTTCAAAGCAAACGAAAAGCTAAAGCTTGCTGGTATATGTAAATATAAAGTGCCTCGTGTTCTCCTGTTGTAATCAGAAAAGACGTATCAGTTAGGTACAGTTTTTGTACATCGAGTGCGTTTAATTGTGTCGACAAAGTTAATTAACAATATAACAAAGTGTAATTAGAGATCGAAAATAACGACAATGAATGTAATGTAGAATTTATGCATCGCTATCTACAGTGAAATTTCTCTATCAAATGAGGTATTAAACGTCTGGCTGCATTTATTATTTAAAAACCTTTCTCTGATAAACGTACAAGATAATAATAATTATATGAAAATTTTGCTGATATACGAATTAAAATCTGAACGTCAGAGCGATCATTTCGACTTTTGAGTATTTATTGGTTTACACACATGTTCTCTGCGCTCTGTTTTTAATTTTTAATCAGTATTAATGATTTACATTTGAAAGATTTTGTACTTTTTATATTATCTGGATATCAAAGTTTATCCACATATCGGAAAATAGTTACCTATTGTATTTGTGCCAACATATATCTAACGGTATTACAATACAAATCGCATAAAAAAAGAAATTAGATCAAATGAATGTACAGTAATGCACTATTATACATATACATAATTAAAATGGTGTATGTACCTTCGTCCTGTCGCGATGACGTATTACCTTCTTAAGCTATGACGCAGCACGTTGCTGAGAATTAATGACAAATTCTCAACTCGAAACTTCACCTCCCACCTTAAAGTTCCGACGGGTCTTTTGCATGCCAAAGAGACATCCCGATCGTGCAAAACCTTTCACACGCGCGCTACAACTCGTTAAAAATCGTATATACAACAATTTTTTTCATCCCGCAAATTGTGTTTATACGCCGAAACGCGTTCTGCTTGCGCTCGACTCATTCGAAGTAAACAAACCGAGCACAATACTGAATACGAAATTGTTATAAGCGAAGACTCGCATATTCCCGTTCTTCTTTATTACAGCTTCACGCGACTCCGTATAAATGCGGCGCATCCTGCGAACAGTCCCATGGTCGCGAGAAATCTTGCTGCTGTTACCTAGGAAGTTATCGATTTCGAGACAGAAAGCATGGAACTGGAAGAGCTTAACGGTCGTGTTTATTGCATGTTGCTGATATGCGCATCAAAGAAAAGCGAACAAAGAAAACAATAATGTTGTTTCTGAACGCGTGTATATAACATTTCAATATACTTCATCACCAGTAACGTATCACATTTTATTATGAAATTCTCCATGCAAGCTGGGAATTTGAATAACTGAGAATTACGGTAATAAGGCAAACGACGTAAATCACACGCGAAAATGCGTTCAATGGCTATTATGTAGATATCGTTTCGCGTATAGTTACGAACGGCTTTTCTATGGATTATGGAAGATGATTGTATTCGCGATGAAGGCAAAGACCGATATCGCTCGTAAAACTCGGAATTTGAATTGAATATTTTATCGAGTCGTCTTCTTGGAAGTGTTAACTAAATCTTAATGAACGGTATCTTAACCGTATAGTCTGAATATCCTCTCATTTAATATTCTTGTTATGAATATTCTAGTTTGGATACGAATCCACTTTATTGAGACCTCGACATCCTGTAGACATAATGGATTTTTTACGCCCCTGTACTCCAAAATTCTGGTTATTATATTTATTATGTGAACATTTATTTATTTACGTCGATATGTCGATCGCGACGACGCACAACTGTACCAGCGAGACACGCGAAAACACAGCGAAACGCGGAAATATAACAACTATTAATCTCGGGTGAAAAAATAACGCATTTCCGCGGAGAGTCCTGTATAAATATCTACGTCAGCCATGTGTACGTTGAACTTTGTAAATTAATCGGCTTACGCGTATGAATCATATTTTCCGATCGCTCGCGATCGTTGATGGCGACTGCTACCGTTCGTGCATATATGTTTATATACATGTGTGTTTACGCGATAAAAAAAAATAAACACTTCGCGCATACTGCAACGCTGATGTTCGTTACGTATTTTATGCGCTTGTACAATCTCGCAGGTGTTGAAACGCCTAGAGCAAACAGCAAGCCAATGAACTCCTTAATTTTTTTACAAGACTATGATTTTTTATTTGCCAATTTACGAATTTACGTTCATTGATATTATCTTTAATCGATTAACCACTATCAAATTCATAAATAAATTATCGTATAATGTTTGAATAAACTTTGTTTTGTTTTCTTTTCATAAAAGTTAAATACAAAATAATTAAATGTTTTCCAAAATATTTTAGATATTTTTAGATAAAACATTCAGTTGAAATGTGAATACTTTTTCAATTTCATTTTGTTTTTTTTTCCAATTCAATCAACTATGAATTACGGTGTTTATCACATTTTCGATTTTAAATATAATATGAATTTCAATACTTCTTGGATGACTTGTAGACATATAAAAACTGATGAAGCAAGTATTATCTATAATATAACGATGAATAAATTTTTTCAAGATTTTCTAACGATATACTTTTCTATGATAATAAATGCACTTCTGGATTACTGTTTACCCCAGAGAGATTCTCTTTTTTGCACTTATTCATTTAGTGAATTTTTCGGTGTGATAAAGTATTTTGCAATAAAAAGGGAGGGTGATTGTGCAATCGGAGATTTATTTCTTTTTGGCTTATTATTTTAATTATACGTATCAATTAAAAGTTATAATTAGAATGAAGGAAGCTTACGACGGGGCTCGATGAAAATGTGTGCCTATCTTGTTGTTGTATATATATTTACACTCGACCGCGGCACGTATACAATCGATAACGATTGCATCTCGATAACTGCTGCGCCTGTTATCATTGACAACGGTATCATGCTGAGAAGGTTTCCGAACCCTGAGGTACAACGTTCTCGACGCTTTTAAATTTCTCCTGGATTTCTCCTGGTTGCAAAAATTTCGTATCATTATATTATGGGAAGATTTGCAAATTAAAAACTTACAATATATCACGTTCAGAAAATTATGTATGTCGTTTTTTAAAGCTACTTCCCCGAGATATTTTTTCCGTATACGTTATCATTTCTGTTCCTTTATTCAGATTATATATTTTTGAATCATTTTTATGATTCAAACATAAGCAAAAAAAACGAAAATATAAAACACGAGATTTGCATGCTTATTATTTCGATGCAAAAATATCGCAAATGTCAAAAGTCTTGCACTGCAATGAAAATTGCATGTGGGAATATAAATCGATATATACAATATTATCGGAACCACTGGATGTATTTTTAGCTCATTAAATTTTCTTGGTGTAGACTTTAAATTCTTAATTAACTCGCGAGTGTTATCTGATACAGTATTGAATTACTTTTCTTCCTTTTGTCGGCATAAAATCTCATTTCTCATTCATGATTCCGATTGATTGTACTTCTTTGAGAACTATTAACAAAAAATAAAGATTCATGCGGGGTTCAAACTTCCGAAGAAAGTAAGAAATCAATGTTTCATTTTATGTAGTATCAAGTGACAGTTCAATTTGCAATTTCTGTTAAATCCATAATAATTTGTTAATGAAATTTTATTCAAATTTTATTTTACGGCTATAGAATCAGTTCATTTTCCAACTTATATCGTTAAGATGGAAAGTTCGAATAGTTCCTTCTCATTATCGAAAGTTTGAACTCCTGAGTGCGGCCGATTTGAATCTATTTCACGAGTAACGACGAAGATATCGATCCTAACAGAATAGACGAGCGTCAAGGAGGAGTTCCTCGCACGTACGAGAACTTTGTGGATGCCCACTTGGTTATCGCGTATTTTCTTCCGTAGTTAATTAGACTATCTAGGATTTTATGCGTGTTGGAAAGATGGGAGAATGTTCTCGAGAGTAACAACGAGCGGATCAATGCTTATTTTCTTTCGGTCTAACGAGAAGGCGCAGCAACGTGTAAAAATCGCAAGGACGCGTGTTCGCCGTTGCGATAACGATCGACAAGTCTGACGCGAATCCCCCGCGATTTCTCGTCGCAGTTCGCTTCGTATTAAGATATGATTGTCTTTCGTCACGAAACGTTGGTCATTCTTCGCCTTCTGGTTCCTGCGTGATCCGCTTTCCCATTATTCTCTCGCGTTAGTCAGGTTGATGCTCTCATCGTGCCAGAAGATTTTACACAGGCAACAGAAATCGTTGTAATACTGCAGCTACTAAAAGACACAACGACGGTGTCGTCAGAGTTGCGAGACCTTGAACTGAAACACGAAAGAATAAAAAATTATTAGCGGAAATTTTTTTTCGATTCGTCTATTTTTATAGACAGACAGTTGAAATATGCCGAATTAATTAGATGTTTGAGTCGCTAGAATTCTCTGGTAATTTCTCTTTAATGAGAGAATTATTACAAATTATTTGCTATATCACCGCATACTCATGTCAGTTTATTCTAGTGACAATTGAGTTTCCGTCTCAAGCAAGAAAGATTATGACTTTAATATGAGTGACAGTTTAATAATTATGACATTCAATTATTCGAATTACGAAACAGATACATAAGCAAAGATTACATTTTAATGTGCAATAGGAAAATTTTACTTGCGTGAATTCCCATAATAAATCGTTATTAAAAGATTGATATCAATAAAAAAAGAAATATCCAGAATTATAGAATCTACATTTAATTTCAAGCATTACGTAACAATTTTATTTTATGTTGCTTTGACCATAAAAATAAATCGATGGCTATGTTCAGCAGAACACAACAGTTTTGCACCCGTTTTATGATTGTCTTCTGAGATAAGACCATTCTTCTAGATCTAAAAGTATAATCCAATCAGCAAGGAGAAAACTTCCAACAGTTGCAAAATAAACGTTCTACTGAACGCAGCCAATAACAACAAAAATTATGATTGAATCGCAAAGTTTTGTTGGAAAATTGATTTGTTTTTATATCAGAGCAGTGCGAAATATAGAAAGTTATATAATTTCTACAGATTCTATATGTCTTTATATATATGTGTATACATGTGTATGTACTTAAATTCATAATGTCAAATTATACCTAATTTAAATTATTTTCAATCATTTCTATAAATCGCAACTGTTCCTATCCAATATGCCATTCAACCAACAAAACAAGAAGATAAATAATTTAACTCAAAGAAGATATATTAAAAATTTGACCCAAATTTAATTTATTATTTAACTAAGTGTATACGTTAATATTGACATTGTTTACTTTGCAATCAGAAATGGATTGATTTTGATCTACATGGAAGTCAAAAATAATAATGTTATTTAACTCAAAGGTTATTGTTGCTCCTTTGATCTCTAAAGTGTATGTGAGTATAGCAAAGTTAGGAAGGTATTAATTGAATAATTATAAAGCTTCAACATAGAGTAAGACAATATAATTTAAAATAAGATATAATTCTGAAATAAGATTTAAATCAAATTTCAAGATTTAAGTTTGATAATTGTAATCTTATTGTGAGGAGAGTATCATCAAACAAGACAAAACCAAACTTACATCTCTAAAAGTGGATTCAAACCTTATTTTATTCAGAATTGTACCATATTTAAAATTATCTCTCACTCTACACATATTTCAAAAAGAAAAATCTGAATTTTGAGATTCGCGTGCATATCTAATCGATTTACAATATCTACAATGATAGTTATGGATTTTTAAAAAATTGTTAGGTAGACAGAAGACAGAAGACAGGAGCTTAGAATTGATATCGTTACCTTCATCACACACGAATGTTTTGAGATAACTAGATAAGCTAGTTTTCTTTGAAGGAATAGTAGTTTAGTTGAAACGTGTGTAACTTTCGAATACATTTCATAATGAGATGAAGGACTTCGCAAACGGCATCCTTATTCTTGTATTCGCTACTACGCATCCTGACAGTTTCCCCATTTTAGTTGTACTCTTATCCTCAACTAAGCTAAAACAGGCGCAAAACGTGAAATAACAAAATTTAACCGGAAGTTATTAAACAAAAAAATCAATATGCTGCGTATATATGATGAATCATAAATATGTGCCACGTAAACAATTTTTTTAACGCAAAAAAACATCCTGCATTCATACAAATTGGTATAGAATATTATTTAGACCATATTTGAGACTGATTTATTGAAATGAATAATAATAATCCGACATATTTTTTTTACAATAATAAATTATTAAAAATTTTATGAAATAATTCAATAATTTTGTCGAGATGAGAAATTGTTCGACCGCGATAAAACCGAATGAGAGTCCGTGTTACGTTTCCGTGTACGTAGAAAATGTGGGAATCACGGACGTGTGACAACTTGACCGTCATACATCGCGTGCGAAGCGAAACAATGTGGCCGCTATTCAGGCAACGTAAACAGGCAGACAATACGAGTCATTCATATGACATAACTCGGAGGCCCTATTGAGCTACTGAAAATCGTCTATTCGATACAGTTTTCAGATTTATTCCACGTTCTTTTCCCTTTTTTTTTTGCCACGAACGAACGAATGTGTGCGGTATTTCTATCCGCACTTCGAAAGAAACGGCATTCAACTCATTCCGGAAATATAAAGAGAAATACAATATCAGCCGTCAGTACAACATAACCCAGCCAGCGCTATTGTCGCTGCGTTTCGGTTATTATTTGTGAGGAATAAAGTTTTTTTTTTGCACGTGCGATCTTTCCATTTTATACGGAGGCAATGCATCAAAGGAAAAGAGAAATTCAAGGTTCAAGGATCTATATCGAAATTGTTGATCTGTCACAGATTATCTTCCCTGTGATTTTTGCAAAAGAAATGATAAAATCTCTCTACTAATCTTAAATATCAAAAGAGGCAACTGAATTCCTTGATAAATAACATTTTGTTATTTTCAACTTTCATATGTATCAATCCATTTCTATAGTTTCAAAGTAAACACTGTATTGACATATGCACTCAGTAAATAATAAACTAAATTCAAGTTAAATTTAATGCATTTTCTTAATTAAATTGTTTAACTTTAGTGTTAATTAAATTAACGACATATTAAGTAAGAGCAGATATCATCTACGAAATGATTAAAATTAATTCAAATTTAATACATTTTGACATTAAATTTGACAGTGTAAATGTGTTCATATTTAAAATTTTTTGCTTGTTCATAGCATTCCATTTTTTATCGCTTTTTATATCAAATTATTAATACAACATAACTTTCGGCAATAAGGTATAACATTAAATTCATAATTTCAGTTTCAGTTTTTATAATAATTTAAAAATATATGAGTATATATAAAAAATTGTTTAAATATTTACGTTACTACAAAATATTTTAACTTTTTAGATAAATTATATTTCGTGACGTTTATCCATACGTTTTATCGTAAATTAGTAACGACAGATATATGCAGGGTTTTGCGCATAATAAATGTTCGCGGTTTAATTCTACTCGACAGAGTGCAAATATATAATTACATAACAAAATATGCAAGAGTAAAATTACGAGGACATTTTAAAATTAACTCATCCCGTCCGATTAAAATGGATTAAAGCCGGCCAAACGGGATGCCTTTTGGTAAGATCAACGACGTCGTGACCGAGTTAAGCCGCGACTGGGTTAAAGGAGTAATAAGGAAAAGGGGGTGCGAAAGGATAATTTGAGAGGTTGTGCGAAGAAGGAGATGAGAGGATGAGGTAGGAGGAGTGACACGGGGAGACGAAAGGCTGCTGATAGAAAGAAAACTGATAGTTGGCGGAGGTTTGAGCTATAGGTAGCTAGCTCGGCGGTAAATGCAGGAGGCGTAGCGACGCTGGCCGTCGCGTACAGCGCTTCCAAGAACGATTCCGTCTAACGAGAAAATCGAAGATCGTTAAGAGCAATTTCTTCGAGTCGTTCGACGTCTTTTCCGGTTTGCCTTGCCTCTTTTTACCTGTCCTCTCCTTCCTACCTTGCGTTGTTCGACCTGACTTCGTCGATCGGCACTGGCTGACTCTCTCTCTCTCTCTCTCTCTCTCTCTCTCTCTCTCCCCTCTCTTGCTCCTCTTTCCCTCTTATTCTCGCGTGGAAGATTCTCCCCCGCGTTGCTCCTTCACGTTTATTTCTTTTACCCTTTTACCCCGTGTCGTGCAATGCTCGACTCGCCCGGTCGATATTCGGAGGCCCACTTATGCAATTAGGCCGAGTACCTTTAGGATATCTAACAACGATAAAAGCACGTGTCTCCTCTTCGTGTTTCGTTAATAGACATTCTCGGTAATGTTTGCGGTAAATAATAGATATAATTACAACAATGTTATAAAGATTACCATCGATCGCTATTATTTATGTAAGTAAATACATGAATAATTCATAGATTTGCAGAACGGATATTTTCATTTTCTTCAACTTCACGAAAACTTCACTCCTACGATCCCATTGATCTTTCGCAAAATTAAACAGATCAAAGTTATATCATTTCCATAGGAATTTTGCGCGGAACGTGTCTCGCGTTAAATAACAATGTGGAAATTTGCCCGACTTATGACTCGAATATTTCCAGACGCATTACCACTGCGGCACGACGGCAAAATATCCCGATAGACCGCGTTTGTATGCGCCGAAATGTTTGTCGATTTACAATAGCGTAGTTATACGCGGAGCTAGTCAAATGCCGCGTATTATATGCATTGTAATTCCTTCCGCCCGCCCGCGGGATTTGTATTGCGCGGCGTGACGCGATGGTATGCAGCTAACGCACATTTGATCACTCTCATTGCGCATTCGTAATGCATGAGTCGTTACGGTCGTCACGGCCTCGCGATACATTTTCAAAAATCTCGTCGTTGAATTGAAAACGTTTACTTTCTTATCGAAATGCAATTACTGCTCGTATTGTTGGAAGAAATTTCACCACTCTGGCGCACATAAGAACAATTCTGTTAAAGTATTTATAAATTTAGTTAAATACAGAGCTGAAAATGATTTTATTGGACTATCAAAATAGTTATACAGGACGCTCGAGCTGATTGCTAAAATTAATTGAAGCATTGCTCTTTATGTTTGAGCTTTTTTACATTGTCAAATTCAAAATGTCAACTTATATCCAATTTGAGTTATTTTTAATCATTTCTACAGGTCACCACTTCTACTCAATATATTGTTAAATTAACTGAAACAATGGCGTTAAACAATTTATTCAAGAAGTGTAGCAAATTTAATTTAGTATTTACTAAGTGAATATATACGTTAATGAACACTTTCGTTGAAACGGAGCAATTCAACAGAAATAGGTTGATTAAGTTTTACTAACCACGTTTTGTAATAAAATTATACACTTTTACACACTTGGAAAGTTAAAAATAACCAAATGTTATTTAATTTAAGAAATTAATTTAAATATTTAACAGTATATAATATTTTGGTAATTTAACGAAATTATTTTCAGATCTGTATCTAGAGAAATTTTTAGATACTTTAACAAAATGAATTTTTCCGTGTATTATATGTGAAATAACTTATGCGGCTCTCATGTGTACTATTTCTTTATCTTTACTGAAAGAAGCGTATTTTTCGATGTATTATCTTCTTTATCGTTGGCCATCGCGATGCGATAAATTATCGATTACTCTTTAAAACAATATGTTGTTCAATTTGTGTCACCTGTAACCGTTTCCGATATCTTAACGCCAATGTTCCAGCGGCTATAATTTACAAAAATAGAGAGCGCGACACGTAACAACACCCGCTAAATTACAAAACAAAAAATATATCCGCGGCAGGTGTGCCATTGTTCGTGTATTTTTCCACGTATTTTTTGTCCAGCAAATACAATCGTATATATACAAATGTGGTAAATCGTTGATTACCTTTGTGGCCCTAATAAAAGAGAGATATGCGTTCGAAACAGTGTGAATCGCTGGCTGATCGGCTGCGGCGGCTCATTCTGGTTAAAATTGACCCGAATCGAGAGCGCAATGCTGCAGGCGTAGAATGATCCGCGTGCATCTATTTCTCTCTCTCTCTCTCTCTCTCTCTCTCTCTCTCTCTCTCTCTTTCTCTCGGATGTTACTATCGCGATTTCAACGACTAGTCAACTGCGAGTGTCTGCGCGTTCCCACGAAAAATAGTCTGCTTACATCGTCACGAAATATTGCCGCCGCGTCGCGTGTAAACGAGTGCTCTCGCGAAAAGTCGATTTATGGTCCATCGGGCGAGCCGAAAAATACTATTGCGGTAAAACTCTCGTGATATATGTATATCGGCATACGTCCGGTGTCCACGAACGTGTGCGCGCGTATTTGTACGCTGTAACGCCACGCGCAAATCGTGAATTTCTTATCGTAACTCGAATTGCGTGACGCGAGGGATTAGTTGATAAATATTTAATCGCCGTTGCACACCGAGCGTTGCCGGGAGCGTTGTTGGTCGGAAACGCGAATGCATACAGACACACACGACTGTGTACGATCTGATGAATCACATATTCATCCCTACCTTTTCATTCCCGGTTCGTCCTATTTCGATTTTCCCTATCGGCGGCACCTCATGCCAGGGAAACGAGATGCACCACTGTAATTTTGTTCTTATTACAAATGTAGATATAATATGCCAGTCGATTATTTCATAACGCTGGATATTAAAGATAAAAAAAAAAGATAAACAAGGAGAGGAAAGTGAAAAGTTAAAACTAATTTAAGTAGAAATTAGACGATAATGAACGCACGGTTGTGAGCAACTTCAGTGGGGCGAGGCGAAGGAAAGGATAAAGTAACTGCAGGTGCAGCTGGGTGAGAGTGTGTTGCGAGGGCAGGTGGTAACGGTTGTAAATTATTGTCTTAATTTCTCCACAACCCTTGCTCCCCGCGGGAACCGAGTCGGTCGATTAGTTGGGCCCCGCTGTAACGCGCAGGTCCCATGCTAATTTCGCATGCCAGGAAATAATAAAGCGTGTACATTTCCTGGAGTGGTTACCTTGAAAGAAATATATACAGTATATCGATAACCAAAGTTGTTGTAGGTACAAACATCCTTCATCAGATATAGCTTCATTTACCTCTGTTACTGTAATTGGGACGAAATGTGTTAAATATTGTGATTTTGCATTTTTAATTTGTATGATGTGATATTTTATTTGATTTTACACGATGTGATATTTATTTGATTCTACACGAAAAGATTTTATTGAAGTGTTGAAAAATCTGATTAAAACTTTATTTTAGCAAAACTGTTCTTAATTTATGACGAATAATTATTTATTGAAGATTATTTTAAATAGACTCGTCGGAACGGAGTTTTATTCATGATTTAAATACTTCAAAGTACAAAGTAATTATATGTAAAGAATGTATATAAAAAATAAATTTTCTGTGCTCTATATATATATATATATATAAATTTTATATTAGAATTATAAGAGAGAATATATATGATAGCTCACACATATAATATTATCATATTACACAAGCGAATATTAAATTTTATTCGCACTAGTTTTCTCACTTTTCTCTTTTTCGAATTTCCTCATTTTCTGATGGTTTATTATTTAATTATCTGCATTTATATACAGTAATTTGATAAAGATATACTGTGAATGTAAATAATTTTGTTCTCATATTTCGCAAGCATATAATTTATTCTCAGACATAGCTGTATTAAATTATATATGTAATTAAAATTTTTGAATTATGATTATTAAATTTGTCAGTCATTTACTACATGTATGTCGCATACACTTTCCGTTTAGTAAAAGTATAGTATATGTAGACATAAAGCAGAAAATTTAAATACAAATATTAACTCTGTAGATATAATTTTGATTCTGTAAGTGTTTATTACGTTTATGCATTATCATACGTTTACGCATATCACATTATAATACATACAATTCTATCTCTGATATCTCATATTGTATCATAACTCTAAAATGAGTTTAACAAGAAGAAAAATTATTCATTAATCAAACGCTAATTTCAAATTTTTCTTTTCGTTCACGTGTTTAATCTATTTAACCGAAGGTTAATTGAAATAATTAGATTCAGGCTCGAATCGTCTATAATCACGATGTCATTATTATTTCGTTACGTGATCTCGAGCTTTGATCGCGACTTGTTTGCCGATTGTATTGTTTCAAAGTATCGATCGTATTGTGTCATGTGGGCTTACCAAAGACCTCGGTATTGCGAATATCGACGAACGGCTCAACTTCGTGGCTCGATTGCACCGTCGCTTCGCACCTGCAACAAGACATTCTATCATTCTTTGAAGTTAGATCGTTAGTGGCCGGTCAGACGGAAGGATAAATTATCGTATCCCATCGCGCGAAACTCGCATAAAACGAGCTCCTACCCTTCTCGCGAGTAAGCAAATGTATATTTATGAGAAGTATGCGCCGAGGTGCCATAGGCAACGGCTCTGTCGAACGACGGAAATATATGGTATGTTGTAAACACTGAAATTACCTGACGTTTATCTTGTCGCTGGCGAGATGACCCGGCTCCAGCTCGAGCAGTAGACTCGATATCGTCGAGTATAGCCCGTGCTGTTCGAACACCAAGTCCGAATCGGGCTTCACCTGGAAAAACCATCGTTCGTTGCGCAACATTTCTTTTCGCGGTGATCGAATCGAATCGCATTGAAAGTAACTTTCCGTTTGCAGCATCGAGGAAGAATGAATGTCGCTCGTCGTGAAGTCGACCAATTGCTATTACAAGCTTGAAATTTGAATAAACGAGCAATTACCTTGCTGTAAATAAATCTTTGTTGTTTCTTAGAGTCGTTCGCGTCAATCTAGATTAATGCTAATTATGTACATTAATTCTGAGAAGTTAAGTTAATAAGATTGACAAATTGTTGAGAAAATAAAAAATATAAAAATGCAAATATATTACAGAATAAAAAAAAACATTTTAGTTATAATCTCACTATTTTTTTATTTAATTAATATGTATAATGTCTTACTTTAGCGACTATAATTTAAACGTATGGATCAATATACTTCAACAGCGACCGATTAATTTAATTTGCCCTTTCACGAATATTTTATTAAATTGTACCAATGTTCGCAATTATCGTTCTTGATTAGGATCTCTTCGCGTTTTTGTTCATAATGAAGAGAACTAAAATTTGAATGATCGAAACATTTGCGTTTTTGCATGCAAATGTGACTTGCATGCAATGTTTTATTATTAAAAATCTATATATTACGTATAGGTTCTCTTTTTGATCATTTTACTTCTTTTTTTACCTTATTCTCAGTCTCTCACATTTGATTATTGTATAAAAAAACAATTAAAAACAAACTTACTTAAAAAAGGTTTAAAAAAGCGCTAAGAGTACACGCTTCTCGAAAATACTTATTATTCCAAATTAAAACTCAAGTGATAATATATTTATTAATTTATGTATGATAAAATCTAAATGATATGTATCTTTATAAAAATTAAAAAATTATCTTATTCGAGATAATTTTGAAAGAATTGAAGTAATATCATTTGTATAAAAGATTTAATATCAACTGACACCAAGTCAAATTCTAAAATTAAAAAATAGAATCCAAATGGTACTATTTTTATTAATTTATGTATAATAAAAACGATACGTATCTTTGTAATAATTGCGTTTTCTTATATTCAAATCAAGTAATATGTATTCAAGTAGTAATGCTTTTGATTAAAAAAAAGATCCAAGTACCATTGATCCATTCAAGACTCCAAGTAGTAATAATTATTTATAAATCTTTTTCAAAATAGTATATATCACAAAATTGTGTTATCTTATTCAACTCAAGTGTTATCATAAAGAATTCAAAAAGTGACAGAACAAAATGAAAAAAATTTAATTTAAATACAAAAATTTTTTATGTAAAAACATAAAAGTAGCCAATTAAATATTCTCCTAAAAAGTACTATATATCAATATTTAAACCTGTGTGTTAATTAAGTGTGATTCTCGTTGGAACTGGTCCTTAAGGATGACATAAATTCAGAGCATAGGGAATATATACGTGCCTGGTAATTATACATCTAATAAATCGTAAGCCAGACTCTGTCGCGATGCCGAGGAGCAAGAGATGTCGGAGCGGCATGCAATAATGCGTCCGATATATATTGTTGTATCGCCTCAAAGAACGCAAACGCATTGAGGAGGAAACGAGGAGCGTAAATGTGACGCCGCGGGACGACGATAACGCAGCCGCGTAGTGCTTCGACGTGATTGTCGATTCTACTAGATGCACACCGTGCGCAACGCTTCGCGTGCAACGTGATAAAACGAGCAAATATCGTTTAGAAACGAAGTTAATATCAGTGTGGGTAGCTTCGAGATTATCACGAGCATGATTACAGAGTATCGTGTCGAAATGGAATTAAATGTAAACAGGCATGCTGGCAAACAATGTCGATATTCTGAATAAAGTTCTTATTATTATATATGAGACGCATTAAACGCATTATAATAAACATTAGTTGCGAAAAAGCACAATTTTTAATGGACGTAAAATATAGGATAATCGAAAAACTGTTGCTAAACTTTGTACAAAAATAAATGTTGAAAATAGGATCAGTAAAAATATGTTATAGAGAAATATGTTACATATAGAGAAAAAAAGCAATTGTTATTCCATACTTTCAGCATTGTCTCTCGCAAGATTGGAATCGTTCAATTCAATTTGTGACTAAATAAATAAACAGATAAAATGCTGCATTTGTGATTACGATATATTGCGAGTGTATCTCGAATGGCGAAATTGCAATACAAATTTATTGTGAAAGCGTCCTATACCTTATTAAATGCCACATACATAGAATGGAAAATCAGTAATGCAGATATATTTTTTACTATTTACTTTTATTAGGTTGAAAAACGTGCGTTGAAATGTATTAATGATATCTTCCAACGATCTCTTCAGACGCGTTTGTCAGATTCGCTACATCCATGTTCCGACTTCATGCAACAGTCGGATATACGGATCTCACTTTGTAATTCAAGTCCTCCAAGTTCTTTATACCCGTATGTCGTATTTTATGTGACTGGAATTTCCATTTTTTGTCGCGACAGCGACACAATTCTGCTCGCTTATTCCGCACCGCCTTTTCTCCAACTCTTTCGTTCTTCCCATTTTATTACACGTGTATGACTGTATCCTATATATTTTTTCGTCTATCTTCGAAAGTCGAGACTCAATCCCATTGTCTTCTATTAATAAGCCTTTGCCTATCCACACATTGCATACCCATTTACACACTTACTTATACACATATTCGCGTTCGTCAAATTATTCTTGATAAGAATATTTTAGATATTTCAAATATCTAAAAATTTAACTTTTGATATACAGATCTGAAAATAATTTTATTGATTTATCAAAATAATTTCATTGAAATGTCAAGCATAAGCAATGCTGCAAATAGTTTTGACATTTTGGCAATCGATTTGGATGACCTACCGATTTGGATGACATATACTTTTTAGAATATTTAATTGGCTACTTTTATGTTTCTACATAAAAAATTTTTGTATTTGAATGTTTTAATAATATAACGAAGTTATTTTCAGATCTAGTATTTAGCTAAATTTTAGATATTTTTTTAGATATTTCAACAAAACCATCCTTTTCGTGTACATGACATTTTAGAGGTTTTTGAATATTTTCTTTGCAAAAATGAAAAACTTTAGTGGGCCGCGCTTATGCGTGTACGCGTGTTAAGCAAGACGAGCAACGGTGCGGAACGTGCGAAAGTTGACGGACGAAACTTCGTCGAAAGTTTCGGTACGACATGACGCTCGTTTGAAGCACAGAATTTCGTAATTAACGAAATCGCGAGACTGCTGTGACACAGCCACGCAAATGGGGCGAAAACGACGAGCTCGTGTTTCGACGTCGTTTAAATGTTGCCGAGGACAGTCACTATCCCTCTCTCTTTTTCTCTCTCTTCCTCTTCTAGGACGGATAAGCGTCTCTTGAGGAAAGAACGCTGATGATATACAAAAGAGTGTATCGGCATCTCAAGAACAACGAAGATCTAGCGGATAACATTACGAATACACGTCGGAATATTTCAGCGGTCGTATATCGGCATATTATCGATAAATTCTAACGCTTTGCGTTTTCCCTATCGTTTTATGAATTCTGCAGTGCTTCCACCTGGGTTTTGTTGTCGGCTGCATACGTCCCTTTGTAGCCAGACGTGTTCTGTCCTGACGCAACTACACTATACATTCGGCTACATATATTCTACTTTGTGTAGAAATACGATGCAATTTCGTCGTCTCCTTGGCATATCTATGGCGTACTTACGCGCTATCTTTGAATAGTCGTCCGGCAATTCGTCTCGGTGTGCGCTCGATAAAAGACAAAAACGGGATAATAAGGAAATAAAAGCCATGATTAAATCATTTTTCAGCTATTTAGATCTTAATTTCATTGATTGTATTCGTTTCAATTGCTGCCATTT